AGTATCACTACGGAAGTAGGATTGCCCAACCTTCCTTCCGAGGAGTGGCTGGTGGGTTTGAACCGCCAGCCGTCTGGTTAGCAGGCAAATGTCTTAGCCACTATGCTACCAGAGCTCCCCACATGACTGGTAGTCTCTAGCATACCGAGGTTCTCTCCACTTTGCAGGCTCCAACGTCCAGTGTCCACGTGGTCCCAGGCTCTGCTGGCCGGCCTAACCGCGGAGAAAGTACTGCGCAAGCGCGGCCCTCTGGCGCAGGCGCAGGCGCGGCCAGGGCGCGCGGTAGACAGACGGTTGGCGGCGCGCGAGGCCGGCGGGCGGTTTTCGTGAGCGGGACCGGAGTGAACGCAGCCAAGGACCGGCGCCATGGTGGAGAAGGAGGAGGCTGGCGGCGGCATCAGCGAGGAGGAGGCGGCGCAGTATGACCGGCAGATCCGCCTCTGGGGCCTGGAGGCCCAGAAACGGTAAGGGCCGATGCGGCTTGAGGGACCGAGGGTCGAGAGGGAGTGGGGAGGAGGAGTCTGGTATGAGGCATTTTCGGCCCTGAGGGAGCGGAAGGGTGTCTTTTGAAACGAAGAGGCGGGAATACTGTGCCCGGGGATGGTAGCGCTCCTGAGGGGACTTCAGGGGCCAATTCGAGACGTTTCTGGAAGGTATGGGAAGCGGAGACGTCTCTAGGTGGGAGGTCCGTTCCGAGGGCTTCTGAACGGGTGGGTGGGCGGAGATCACGAGGGATTGAGCGGCTTCAACCGGAAAGGCTCGGAAGCCTGGGAGGTGGAATTCAGGGAACAGATAATTTAGGCGATAAGGGGGCCCTGGGATGCAGAAAAGGGGGGTGTCGCTAGGTGTTCATTCATTCATTCAGCCATAGATAGTGGGAACCTGTTGTGTGCAGGGTGCTGGGGACATTGGTGACCCCACAGACATGAGCTGACATTGTTGTTATTTTTTTAAAAAACTTTTATTGTGGTGAAAACATACACAAGGTATTTTTCATTTTGTGCCACGATTGTTGCTGTCCTTTTCCAAAATATTCCACCACCATTATCATGGACTCAGTGCCCCCTAAACAAACGCTTCCCCATCCCCTTCCCTCCTACTTCTGTAACCACTAACTAACAATCTTTGATTTCTAACTGTCTAGCTATCTCTCTCTTTTTCAACCTATCTAGGAATTTAGCCTCCCCTCCCTGGTAACCAAAAAAAGAAAGCCTCCTTCTAGATATAAACTTTTCCTTGACTTTTTTTCTTTTTTTGGTTTTTTAATATATATATTTTTATTTTTGCAGTGTGTGTTCCTTCTCCTTCCCTCCCACTCCTGGTTACCAACAAAGAAAGTTCCCTTCCATATATAAACCTTTCCTTGACTTTTTACAATAAGGAACTAATACAATATTTGTCCTTCTGTGATCGACTTATTTCATGCAGCATAATGTTCTTTAAGTTCATCCATACGTGGTGGTTGGTAGGTTCTACATTATTCTTCAGGGTTGCATAGTATTCCATTGTGTGTGTGTACCACAGTTTGTTTATCCATTCTTCAGTTGATGGACACTTAGGTTGTTTCCATCTCTTTGCTGGTGTGAATTGTGCTGCAGTGAACATGGGTGTGCATATTCATGCCCTGGCTCTCACTTTAGGATATATACCTAGTAATAGGGTTGCTGGAACAAATGATATTTATATTTCCAACTTTTTAAGGAATCGCCATACTGATTTCCACAGTGGTTGTATCATTTGACAGTCCTACCAACAGTGTATGGGAGTCCCAATCTCTCCACATCCTCGCCAGCATTTGTTATTTTCTATCTTGGTGAACTTTGCTGTTAGTGCTAGGGCCAGATGGTATCTCATGGTTGTTGCGATTTGCATCTTGCTTATAATGGCTGATGAGTGTGAACATTTCTTCATGTGTTTGTTGGCCGCCTGAATATCCTCTTTAGTCAAATGTCTATTCATGTTTTCTGCCCCTTTTTGAGTTGGATTGTTTGTCTTTTTGTTGTTGAGCTGTTGGAGTTTTCTATATATTTTAGAGATAAATCCTTTGATGGGCTGACATTCTTGTGGGTCCTGAGTGGTGGGCCAATCTGAAAGAAGGTGGGCGTTTGAGGAGTTTTGGAGCAAATTACTTCAAGTGGACGTCTTCAGAGGCTCCGAGTCTAGAGGGGCAGAAGTACCTGAAGAGGTTGCTTGTGTCTGGGTGTGGGGGTGTGTGCAAAGGGGCTAGGAGAGTAAGGGTGGGCATATGTTGGATATTGAAGGAGGTGCTTGATGCAAGCAACAGATAGTTACTGAGCACCTGCGTAGGTGCTGTTCTAGGCACTGAGCATGTATTGGTGAGCTAAACAGATTCCTTGCCCACATTCTAATGTTGTAACTTGAATATGTGTTAAGTCAAGGATTACCTGTATATTTGTTGTTGTTAGGTGCCCTCGAGTCGGACCCGACTCATAGCGACCCCTCCTTGGGTTTCCCAGGTGGTATCACTACAAAAGTAGATTGCCTAACCTTCCTTCCGAGGAGTGGCTGATGGGTTTGAACCGTCAGCCTTCTGGTTAGCAGTCAAGTGTCTTAGGCACTATGCTACCAGAGCTCCCTTAACTGTATGTAATATTATACAGTATCAGGTAATGGAAGTTCTAGGGAGAAAAATAAAGCAGAAATACTGAAAAAAACAAATCTGCTGTTGAATTGATTCCAACTCATGGCGACTCCATGTGTTACAAAGTAGAACTGAGGTCTCTGGGTTTTCTTGGCTGTAATCTTTATGGAAACAGATTACCAGGCCTTCCTTGTGTGGTACTGCTTGGTAGGTTTGAACCACCAACCTTTAGGTCAGTAGTTGAGTGCACACCGTTGGTGCTTTTGGGTAAGGGAGGGGAGTCAATAAAAGATGGGGTGGTGGTGGGGGAGAGCTGTTTTGATAAGGTGGTCCAGGAAGGCTTCTGTAAAAGTAACATTGAACCTGGGACCTGAGTGAAGGGTGAGAAGGAGCCGGGTGGCCATCAGGGGGAGAAACGTCCCTGACATAGAAAACAGCTTGTTGTTGTTGTTGTTATGTGCCTTCGAGTCTGCCCCGACTCATAGTGACCTCTCCTTGGGTTTCCAAGGTGGTATCACTATGGAAGTAGGTTGCCCAACCTTCCTTCCGAGGAGTGGCTGGTGGGTTTGAACCATCAGCCTTCTGGTTAGCAGTCAAGTGCCTTAAGCACTATGCTGCCAGAGTTCCTAGTGTAGGTAAATCATGGAGGCCTGAGCTGGGCAAGTTAATTAGAACAGGAGGGTGGCTAGAACTTAACAGGTGAAGAGCAACTTTATATTCTAAGTGTGCTAGGAAACCATTGGAGTTTTGAGAGTGGGAATAACACAATTTGACTTGGTTTTAAAAAGATCACTCTTGCTGAGTGTGGAATAGGTTTAAGTGGGCAGAAGTGGAAACAAGAGTTTCAGTTAGGAGTTTTTGACAGGTGCTGTCAAGTTCGATTTCCATGGGAGACTTCTGTGGTACATGTGAGACATAATGACAGCTTGGAATGCTAGAGGAGGGGTCAGATACATACCTGGATATATTTTGAAGGTAAAGGGACCAGCCAGATTTGCCAAAGGATTTGATAGTAGGATATGAGAGGAAATGAAGGGTGATGAAGGGTGATGCCAAGGTTTCTGGCCTGAGAGTTTTGGGAAAGGTGTCATAGTGCCTAAGGCATCTGGCTGCTAATCAGAAGGCTGGCAGTTCAAACCCACCAGCCACTCCTCGGACGGAAGGTTGGGCAATCTACTTCCGTAGCGATACTGCCTCGGAAACCCAAGGAGTTGGGTCCAACTCCACGGCAAACAACAGCATAGTTTTATCTGATGTGGGGTGAAGCATGTGAAGAGTAAACTGGAATGGAGTGAGGGGACTGTCAGAGGAGTAGGAGTGGTTTCTCTGAGGAACAATGAAGAATAGATGGGAGCTTCCGAGGGGCAGGTGACCCAAGGACCAGTGACTGTCAGGCCGTAGAGTTCCTGGGAGGTGGGAGTTTTTCCAAAGGAGCGGAGATTGAACTTGGTGGAGAACCTGGACAAGAGTGACTGAGGTCCTGGGCAGATGGGAGGGGCTTGTCTGTAACTTGTGGTCTCTACTTTGTGGGCCACCTATAGAGTTTAGTAGAGGGCGCTCATGTCCGTTTTCTCGTCTGGGTCTCAGCTCTCTGGAGCAGAAGGGGCAGGTGAGGAAACAGGCTGCACAGAGCCAACTGACTTGCCTCTAAGGGAACTCCAGGTAGGACAGGAGGAATCTGGGCCTGAGGTTACTTTGTGAAATGGAAAGCCTAGGAATCCACTGATGGCATTCTAACTGCAGTTTTTTGCCTTTGAGTTGCTCTGTGATCTTGGACCAAGATTGTAGGAACTGGAAAGGAGGGTAAAAAGAAGAAAAAGGGCCGTGGAGGGAAGTTACAGTCTGTGGTTGTTTGTTGCTGTCAAGTTCATTCTGACTCACAGCGCCCCTAGAGGACAGAGTAGCACTGCCCCATAGGGTTTCCAAGGCTGCCAGTCTTTATAGAAGCTGACTGCCTCATCCAATCTTTCTCCTGCAGAGCAGCTGGGGGGTTTTGGTTAACAGCCTAACGCTTTAAGCACGGCACCACCAGAGCTCCTTGATAAAGGAATACTAAAACCATCCTGTAACAGTTTGTTGGGGAACTTGATGCTCACACAGTACCCCGATTTTATCCCACAGATCAGTGACCAGTTGTAAGAGGAGAGCTTACCTTTACAACAGAGGAATCTGTTGGTCATCACCTCAGCCGAGTGATCAAACTTAGTACCACTGCACTTGGGACAACCTGATGGAATGTGCCTTCTCATGTGGTGAAATACCAGCTTCTTGTGTCAATTATGAAGTTTTCTAGCCAAAAATGTTTACCCTGATCACACTTTAGGGAACAGATGGACAAAGGAAAGAACACCGTTGAGGTGATGATAAGAGAAGAATGTGGAACATTCTACCAGACAGCTACCCTGGTTCTCTTCCAGAAGTCAGTGTCGTGGGGAAAAAACAAGCAGAGGGAATGTTTTAGATTAAAAGAGATCAAAGAAACATAGCCAAATGCAGCCTGTGAGCCTTCCTCTGACTGGGTCCTGGTTTAAAGAGAAAAAGAAAAGATGTCTGTAAAAAATGGTAGGGGAAATCCAAATATTTTTTCCTATTACATGGTATTTGGGAATTCTTTTCCAGATGTAATAAATGGTATGGCTGTGAAGGAGAATGTCCTGATTTTGGAGCTAAAGGTGTGAAGTGTCATGATGCATTTAGGTAGATGGGGAAAACATAATGTTAATCATCCTTTCAACTTTTTTGTATGTTAGAAATTTTTTTATGAGAAGTTGGGGAAAAAATTCCCAACAAAAATTTGGAGATACCACATAGATTTCTGATACCTGGCCTCTTGAGAAATAGGAAGGTCAGACATCCCCCTGT